AACATAAACATAAGCTGTTGCTGTCTGTTGTTATTTAAAGAGCAGAAACTACTCTGAGTACCCCTCCTCTCCATCCCCTGATGAGTCGTTAGCCTCTGTTGATGGTGAGTCATCGTGGTGATTAGATGCAAGAAGGTGTGACCTAGACTGAAACTGCTTAGGAATGAGATTCAAAGCTGCATTATAGATACAGGAAAGGTGAAAGCTAAGCCCCTCCCCTATTTAAAGTTGGTTTTTCACTTTTTGACATAGATAGCTTCTTTTACTCCTCTCTCAAACCATCTATCTTCTCTGTCTGGAATGTGGACTTTGTCATCTTCAAAAGTGTAAGTAAGTAAGTAAGTAAGTACATTTTATGTATATAGCACTTATCACAGACATAGAATCACAAAGTGCTACACATAGATCAGAACAAAATAAAACAAAGTCATAAAATCATAAATAGATTAAAATCCTCAAAACAGAATCAGATTAACAAAAGAAAAAATAAAGTCATAAAATTATAAAATTTCATAAACAGATGAAAGATTAAAAATTTGAGTTAAAAATAAGAAAATAAAAGATTTAGGTAAAAGCAGCTTTAAAGGGACTTTACGGAGTTTTGTATTTTTATGCTCGCGATTGCCCCCTCTGGCCAAAAGTGTAACGGCAGCTTCAATAGGAGGCTCGTGCACGAGGCGCGCATGCCATACGTGCACACTCCTTAACGAAAATAACAGCTGAGACGAAGCTCTGTGAAGCTGATGGGGGTCAGCTTCACAGAGCTCTGAGAGCTGACAGTCCATTGTGTGTGTGTGTGTGTGTGTGTGTGTGGCCCGGAGAGCAGGAGAATGTGCAGCTAATTAATTAAATAATTTGGTTCTGTACCTTTCTCTTCAGCACAGCTGACAAAGGTTTATGATGGGTTAGTCCTCCTGCATGCTCAGATCATTCCCTTGCTTGAAAAATTGTTCCAAAATGAAAGTTGAACCCACATCTTTTTTATCTGTGAATTCAATGCTGTTCGGCGAGTCTCAAATAAAAATTTGGGCATCTTACTGTAAAAAAATATACCATTAATGTAAAAAAGAAACTCTAAAATAACTTTGTTCTCACCCAGAATCAAACCCGGGTCTCCTGCACAAGAGTCTGACGTCTTTATAGTTGAGCTAAACCACCACTGACATTTTTGGTATCTGTAATATTTATATCCTTGATTACAGCTAAAACAACGTTCAAAGAACGGTTCAGAGCGAAAATGGCTATTTTGTTGCTAATTTGCAGGAAATATCTAGAAGAAAGTAGCTAAGGGTCCTCAGAAATGTAGCTAGTTTCGTCACTAGGCGTTAGGAACAGCGACAAAGTGGCACTGCCTCTCTTTCTGCTGCTAAAGCTACTGATAGCAAACGCTATGGGCTATGCCTGAGTGTGAACGCGCATGAAGCAGCCTGCTCGACCTGAGCATCTCTCTTTTTCTGTGATTTTACAGAAAAACAGGCAATCACAGTAAAAATGCCAGGGCTCATTCTACAGGACCAGGGCTTTGCAGGAGAAGAAATGTATTATTTCTATACTTGTTTTGGCTGTCAAACTTCCATAATGCCCCTTTAAATAAAAGGGTCTTTAGCTGTTTTTTAAAATGTCCAGTCTGTCAACGCTGCGTAAGGATAAAGGAAGATCATTCCAGAGTCGGGGTGCAACAGTCTGGAAGGAGCGATCACCTCAACTTTTATATCTGGTCTTTGGAACTTCTAGAAGGTTCTGGTATGTGGACCTGAGGGCTCGGGTTGGAGCATAAGGCTTTAACAGTTCAGTAATATAGGGAGGAGCTTGACCATGTAGAGCTCTGAAAGTTATAGTGAGGATTCTAAAATGAACTCTAAAGTTAATGGGTAACCAGTGCAGAGACATTAGAATAGGAGTGATATGCACTCTTCTGTTTGTCCAGTTAGAAGCCTCACTGCAGAGTTCTGGACCAACTGAAGGCGGTCAAGGGCTTTTTTGTTAAAACATGTGAAAAGTGTGTTACAGTAATCTAGACGGGAGGAGATAAAGGTATGGATAACCATTTCAAGTTCATATTTTGACACCAACCTTCACAGTTTTGAGATATTTCTTAAATGATAAAAACAGTTTCGGACCAATGTTTTTGAGTGGCCTTCAAGAGACATTGATTGGTCAAAAATAACACCCAAATTCCTTACGTTTGTCTTGATGACAGAGGATAAATGACCAAGTTTTAGACTAATCAGGGGAACCATGCTCTCAGGGGCAATGATCAGATATTCAGTCTTTTCAGAGTTTAACTGAAGGAAGTTAACTTCTAGCCAGCTGGTTATAGCTGATACACTCTAGTAATTCATACAGTTTGTAGAACTCAGAATCCTTACAGGAGCAGTACAGATGAATATCATCTGCATATAGGTGATAAGAGGCATTATGAAAATAATCTATTATCTGTCCAAGAGGAAGTATGTACAGCAGAAACAACAGTGGACCCAAAACAGAGCCTTGGGGTACCCCACAGAACAGATGGGTAGAATCTGACATGATTTGGTTCATACAGACACTGTAAGTTCTGTTAGAAAGGTACAATCTAAACCAGTCTAGAACAGTTCCAGAGATCCCCACCGAGTCACCAAGTCTGTTAATTAAAGTGCTGTGATCAACAGGGTCAGAAGCTGCAGAAAGATCTAACAATACTAACACTGTGAACTCCCCGTTGTCTGCAGCCATCATGATGTCACTTGAAACTAAGCTGTTTCTGTTGAATGCTTTTAATCATCTATCTTCTCTGCCCAAAAGTGTGTCCCTTGTCCTTCAGGTACAGGTGGACTGCAGAATTTTGACCTGAAGAGGCGGCTCTCCTGTGTTGTGTTATGTTCCTGTGTAATTGTTGTTTAGTTTCTCTAATGTAAAGATCTGGACAGTGCTCCTACACTGGACTGCATAAACAACACCACTGAGCTTCTATTTGGGTGTTTTGTCATCTGGATGGACCAGGTTCTGTCTGAGGGTGTTGTTGGGTTTAAAGTTTACCGGGATGTTGTGTTTGGAGAAGATTCTTCTAAGTTTCTCTGACACTCCTGCCACGTATGTGATGATGGTGCCATTTGCCCAAAGGATGTTGTTGTTAGGTTGGCAGCAGAGCTCTCATGTTTAGTGTTAAGTTCAGTGAGATCATGGAATGGGATCAAGAATTTTCTACTGACAGGAAAAAGATCTCAGCTAACGTAGCCGTAGATCACACTGGATAAGTCTCTGTGGTTGCATTTATTTTACATTTATTTTACTACCTCTTACTAGAGCTGTCTTTAGTAGGTGCAAAATATCTTTGGTTGTACACCTGTGCGATAGCGATAAAGTATCTTGATTCCTGTTAAATGTACTTCCTGAATGAGTGACCTTTTCAGGCTAAAACAACAAAATGACAAATACAGACAGAAGGATGACTTATTCCTTTTATAATGCGTTGCATCACCACCTGGTATCAGAACAGGACTCAGTGTTGGAAGATAATCAAAAATCAAACAACTTGGACTCGGATCAGGGGCAAAAATGTGGTTGTAACATCTCTAGATATAAGTCAGCTTTAAAAACTAAACTGTTATTTATGAACTAACATTAACACTAATGACACTAATTTATATATTTTTATTATGTTGTTTGAACCCAAGGGTCTCATTATCTGAATTTTCTAACTAGTTGGATTGTGAATCTGTTTAAAAGTTTTGCTCTATAAGTGCCCCCTTTTTTTTTTACTTTGAGCACCCGCCCCGTCAAAGGTCTCTGCACGGCCCTGTTGGGATTTCCCCGGAAAAGCTGGCCCAAGTGGCTGGGCAGAGGGAAGTCTGGGCCTCTCGACTTATGCTACTGCCCCCGCAACCCGACTCCAGATAAGCGGGAAAAAATGGATGGATGGATTGAAAATGAAAGAGTACATGACACATGAAACTGTTGTCTTTGGTGCTGCAGCATTGTATTCCTGCATCTTGCTTTCTGCGATGCTTCATCTTACTGTAGTCCCAAATCTAAATCAGTTCCTGTGAATCACAGGTTTCTTAATATTTTTGTTTACAGTTGATTTGATCATTCAGGTCACCAAGAAAAATTAAGATCATTATTGAGTAATTTTCATGACTTTCATGACTTTTCACAAAATGCTAGTTGTTACCAATTACGTACATTGTTTATGCTAAGCTAAAGCTAACAGAACGCTGCTAGATCAGGAGAATGACTGGGCTGGTTACAAAATGTTTTTTCCCACTTATCGAACTCTGGAGAATGTGGCAACAGACAAAATTTGACTTAGGTGTGGAATATCTCTATAAGATTCAGGGCAAATGAAGCCAACTTTTCCGCAATCAAATAAAACCCGTTTTAAATAACAGATATAAAAAGTTATACGTCACTATATGATGCATTTGAAAGTGAAAACATCAAACCCCCTGAAACTCGAGTGTTCAGACACATTTAGTCAACCTTGGATGGAAACATCAGACACTGGCTCCTGAGAAAAAAGATTACGTCAGCAACCCGAGAAAAAAAAAACATTTCACAATGACAGATTATTATCAGTCAGTCTGTTTCTGTGTGTGTTGAACCAGTTAGTCAGGAGGGTTTTGTTGCTTTGGGGACAGAGAACAGAGACAAGGATCAGCATGGAATGGGTTCTGTTTGTCAGAGAAGGACTGAAACTCCTTCGGACAGCAAGAAACGCCCCCCTGATGGAGCTGTGCTAGTCAGCTTTAAAAGAAAACGTTGTTGTTGTAAGTATCTGTGAGCGCCGTAACCAGAACAGGTAACAGCACTCCTGTCCTTCTGCACCCTCGTGCAATAATCCAGAAGGTTGGGAGCTGACTAGGATGAAGTCAGCATGGGAATATTGTCCCACTGCACCTTAAAACACTTACTGCAGGAACACACACACACACACACACACACACACACACACACATGCACGCACGCACGCACACACACACACACACACTCAAACTATTAAAAAGCTTCCTTCTTCCTACCTGTTCTCTGCTTGTCTGGAAGTCCCAGCAGCCAGAAGCTGTTGGGCTTGTCCCGTTTCAGATTCGGGCTCAAAGGTGAAGAAAAGCTTTTGTCCGTCTGCACCTTCTTCTTCTTCTGGATGTTGTTTCCCATTTTGGGGCAGTCCTGGAGCCCCTAAAGTGGGTCTACCATCTCTGACATCTGTACTCCAGCACTCCTGAGTCCCAGTGCTCAGTTGATTCCTGCTGATTCTGCCCTTCTTCAAGCCCTATTGACTGTCTGTGCTAAAGACCCACTGACACCATCCCTCCAAGACAAACAGGCTCTGGTGCTGATCAGAAATGCAGATCCAGCAAGGAAAAAAAACAAGTCCAGTCAGTCCAGTGGCTCTGAGCTGACACCCTCATGTGCATCCAGCTAGTAGAGGAAGCAACATCCAACGATGACACTCTCAGGAGCGTGCACAGATGTGTGCATGTTCGTGCCCCACGCTGACACTCTCAGGAGCGTGCACAGATGTGAGCGTGTTTGTGCCCCTCCCACCTTCTGCCTCTGTGATCGCCGTGCTCCCAAACCACACAGCTGAGCTACATCATATGGGTCATCAAAATGATTCACACAGCTTTCCCTCTCACCCAGCGGCACCTCCTCCTCCTCCTTGTGTGAGTGATTAGCTTCCGTATTGAAAACCATTATGAGTGCAGCTGACATATCCTGTCAACACAACCTGGAGGAGGAGAAAACACAAATTCTTCCATCACTGTGTCATAGAAATCCACTGAGGGGAAACGGAGCAGAGGTGTCAGGGGTATTGAATGAGAAAGGAGGAAATACAGGGTTAGTTTTTTAAATTAAAAAAATCCTAAAAATGCAGGTTTTCATCTGAGTCACTGGATGATATCAGACAACCCACAAATCAGAGCTTGGTTCTCAGATGAGAGTTTCCCACCTCTCCCTGAAAGAAGATGCTGATCCAGATGTGTGGAATGAAGGCAAAAAGACACATGATGGGGAATTCTTGACCACGAAATACCCAAAATATTAGCATTTTTTCTTATTTTAGGCAGAAAAACTCAATAGAAAGATAAAAAAAAGAAAGAAAATAAATTGGCAGTTAATGATGATGTCATGCCCTTTGCCATCACTCAGAGGCTGGGATACTAAACCTAGAGTGCCTGGATCGATAGAAGTCATCCAGAGGCAGACGTATGAAAGGGATGTGATAAAAATGCACGCTGCTCAGATCAAGCGAAAGGAAGAGGAAACAGTCCCGTTTCCTCCCTGCCTTCCATCCCATGTGATTTGCTGAGAAATGAGATGAGATACAAAACAGCATTACCGGTTATAAAGCTGCAGGGAAGATAAATGTATAGTCCCCCGTTTTTCTGGAGCGAACATCGATCTGTATCAGAAGATCAGAAGGACTTAGTGGCAATGTCTAATTTTGGAACACATCTGGCTACAGAAAGTGTGATGAGGGCAGAATAAATAGAGGATGGGTCCATATTACTCCTGTGTAAAATGATCTGCTTCATGCACTGCAGCTTCCTAATGCAGTCCAACAGAACCACACCCAGTACATTTGAGATGGTGGAGTACTCTGAGCTCCCGATCTCATCTGTCACAGAGCTGGCAGAGTGCACTTAGAGCGTGCACGGGTGTACACTGACTGCCTTCACCTGCGAGCTTCATAACACTGTGCCAAACGTGTCCCAGATCCATTTCAATGTAAGAGTGATCAAAGACTGAGTCACTGTCGTGGCAGGTTTCAGGGTCTGACTGGTGGGAGGCTTAAAAGTGTGTGTGTGTGTGTGTGTGTGTGTGTGTGTGTGTGTGTGTGTGTGTGTGTGTCCGTCCACTGTAAAGGATTCTGATGTAGAGAAATGTTGTCAGGGAAGGTGGTTGTCAGGGTTACCACTAGAAAGGTCTGCAGACATGAATGTCTGTAAACGTTTCGGTGACCTGTGTCCTTCAACGAATGATGAGATTTGTTTAAAATATAAAGGTGGGAGGACAAAAGAAGTAACTGTACTTATTGTGTCACCCTTTCCCATGACTCCTCAGTCAGGAAGTCAGCCCAGCACTCCCATCTTGTGGTAAAACATTGACATTACTATTAAAAGACCCCAAAGTTCACATAAAATACAAATACTCAGAACAGATATGGCTTTAGATACCAGAAAAATGAGCCATCTGTCATGTTCTGTGTCCCTTTTTTCCCCAGCCCCTCCAGTTCCCACTCCAGATTCTCCTTTTGTGTTTCATGGCGCCCTCATGTGTCCTTTGTCTGCGTCTCTCCCCATGTGTCTCCTAATGTTTCTCCATCCCTCTCTGGATTCCCTTTTGTGTTCTCTTAGCGCCCTCATGTGTCCTTTGTCTGCATCTCTGTTGTGTGTCTTAAGTTGTAGCCCCAGCCTCTTGTTCCCCAGTTCATTGTATGTGTGTATGAGTTTGTGTGTATCAGTATGTGTATGTGTTTGTGAGTCCTCCCCTTAGTCTCTAGGTTTAGTTTTGGTGTTTTATATAGTGTTAGGTTTATCTGCCCTCCACTGGTTCTCTTCCCCATCCAGATAATTGCTGTCACCTGCCTTCCCTCCAGCCTCACTCCACACACCTGCTTCCTGTTTCCCTAATTGCTCCTCCCAGTGTATAAAGCCTCTCCTTGTCTCATTGTTCTTGTCGGCCCATTGTTGTTGTCAGCGTGTTTTGTTCCCCGTTTAAAATCTAAGACTCCTGCCTGTTTTTGTGACTCCAAATAAAGGATTCTACTTTTTTCAATTACTCCTGCCTCATATCGTCTGGTGCTCTGCATATTGCGTCCTACTCCTCCCAATCAGAACGTGACACCATCCAGGTTAGAAAAGATACACAAAGAGGTTTTAGGTACATTCTTAGTTTTAATGCTCCCCTGGCCACTTTTATACTTTTATTCAGTTGTTGTTGTGTTTTTCAACCAATGTTGAGCCTTTTTATAGTACAAGGGATCATATATATATATATATATATATATATATATATATATATATATATATATATATATGTATGTATACATAAATATATATATATATATGTATGTATACATAAATATATATAAAGTTTTAAAAGTTGTAAAGTAAAAAAAAATTATTAAATAGGAAAATGAAAAATTTAAGCAGCACAGCAGTTTCCCCCTTTCAGGAAATATGTATGATTTTACAAGATGGTCTTAGCAATTCACCATTTTTTTTTTTTTTTTGCTAAGCCCGGGGTTTGAATTACGGGGGACCTAAGGGGAGCCCGGCTCCCCTGAAAGGGTGATGTGCTCTCCTGGAAGCCGTCAACTTACACACCCAATGGGAGCCCGAAATAGAACCAAGGTGTTTCTCAATGTCAAGGCGCCTGGCCTTGCGAGGCGATGTCTTGTGAGGCCAGGCGTCTTGCTTACAAGGACACTGTCCTTCCTTGGTCAAAGAAAACGGAAGTGGCTCACGTGACTGCAGCTTCCACGGCGGTCACGTAACGTCACGTGACACGGGACATAGCGTTATATTTTATGTGAATAACTTTCAATATAAATATATAACGAGCCTTTAACTTTTTTAATTGTGTGTATGTTTATTTAATTAAAACTATAAGTGAGTTACTACCCACTAGCCACCGAAGCTGAAACTACTAAGCTACTAACCATTAACAGAAAACTTCTTTGGATCTAAAAAAAAACGTTTTAAATTAGTTGACTTAATTTTAAACTTGACAAATTTCCCCGAAGTAGCAGACGGCTTCTGATCCACCATCCTTTTAATAATACTGCGGCGTATTCTGGGTAATTTTTGACCAAGGCTAGGCTACAAGACACCTCCTGTGTATTCTTGCTCAGCTAGCTAAACGGCTTACAAACGGAGAACACGCCTCGGTAGAACATGAACATTGGAACACGTCTTGGCGGCTCCCGATGACGTATCTCCTAGGCAACCGGGGTGGGGCCAAGACATCAAAGCGAGGTTCCTTGGCATTGAGAAACGTACGCCCCCAGTTTCCACCAACATTATGGCCTTTTCACTTTTGGCCCTGCCTGGTTCAGTCTTGGTAGCATCAGCTCTCCCCCCGCTGCCAGGTTTTGATTGCACGGCCTTCTTAGGAACACAGATGTTTCCGAGCACGTGGGCAATGCAAAAGAGGTGCAGAGAAGTCCATGGTGTCCTCCTTCAGTTGGTAAAAAAATGCAGTCATGAGCAGTATTTGGAGACTGCTTCCTACTGCCTCTCTCAGACTGGAGGAGGCACCTCACAGCAGCCTGTCCTCTGGCTGCCGTGGCTGTAGCCGAGGGTCAAATCAGCAGTCAGAGAAGATGTTTACTCCACAGCAACCAGCAGGAAGCCACTGCTGACTGATTCTACCTTCCAATCAGATGCTGCCTCCCTCTGTAGGTGGGCGTGAACTTCAGCCAGCCAATCTGTTGGTAGATAGTCAGTTGAGCACGGAAAGTGCACGGATTACTCAGATGTGAACACAGTTAACCCACCAGGCCGGGTCGACCCAGATGTGAAGGCCCTACATTATTTATATGGACTTTCTGTGTACCGGGACTTCTTTTGAGAAGAGACGACAGTGAGCGCAGATTGGTGATGTACTCCAAGCAGCAACTTCTTCTTCCGGCTCTTGGAGAGTACAGACACTTTTTTCTCCTCTCCCTCCCTCCTTATCCCAAGGCTCTTTATCCTGTCTGTGCACGGCGCTTTTTGCATTTTTTCTGGAAACTGGAAATTATTAAAATGGATCTGGTCAGTTGGTCTCAACGTGATTGACAACATTTTTTCAACAATGAGAACGGGAGAAGGGGCTCCCGGATGCCCCTCTGGGACAGAGCCAGCTGGGTATATCATGGACTCCTGGAAACAGTGGAACCTGATCTGCCTCCCTCAACTGTCTGTAGAGGATTCTGAAGACGTCTGGATATTTGTGGTTTTGGTGTTGGGATTCCTGCTGTTTGGCCTGAGCGGTTACCTGGCTTACCGGAAAATTAACGAGCTTTCGAGGAATATTGGCTCAATGCCGGAGCTCAGCGATGGAATGCATCGCACTGTGACTGCACAAACTCATATAATTGTCGAGATGAGTCATAAGCTTGGAACTTTGGCTGAGATTCAGGCTCTGACCCAGAAGGTGGATTCCATCAAGGACAGAGTTGTGGACGGATCAGCACGGATTGGGATAGATTAATTACGCCATTATTGGATCTAGAGGGGTTGGTGACCAACAGAACTCTAACGCAGAGAGAAAATTATCTCTGTCTGTCCCAAAACAATCCTTATCTGAATATGGTGCCCTTGGAGCGTGTGAGGCTGAAGTAAAAATGCGGCTGTCGCTATGGAAACTCTTTCTCCCTATCCCAGCCTGGGCGGGACTGTGACCGGTGAAGGCCGTGGAACCGTATCTAGGAGTCATTGTGCCCTCTAACCCATTATCTCCCTCCCCTGTCCAAACGGAGGTGAAACACGCTGCTCTGCGGCTGCATGCACCGAAGTGAGAGTCCCAACCCTACCTCCCCACCTAGTGGACACTTATGTTGTGTAATGTCTGAAGTCTGTGAGCATTTCTGTCTGAGGTGTTTTTTTGCATAGCAAAGCTACCCTCTCTGGTGAGGGTAACTCTGAAGTGCCTTTTTTCCCTCCCCCCGACTCAATCCTCATATAAACCCTCTTGATCTATTACGGTAGCGCGACTCGGGTTGCGAATGACCACAGTCACCAATTCTTGTCGTGTGTGTATGTATGTATGTTTGATCTCAGAATTGTATGTACTGAAACTCTAATTTCCCTCTGGGATTAATACAGTATTATTGAATTGAATTGAATTGAATTGAACTGAATTGAATTGAATTGAATTGATTGGTGATGCGCTCCGAGCAGCTGCGTCCTGCCCACGGCCACAGCAACATGCTAAAAGTTGCGTCGCCAAAAGGATCTGATTAACTCGCGATCGGTCATATTCATATTCTCTTGCCATTTATCCCCACAACACCTTTTTAACTATACAA